GTATTTGTACTTAGTTACTTTACAACTCTGCCTGTTACAGAAACACGTTGTTGTTTACATTACTTTATTTAAGAACACATGAATAATAAAAAAACTAAATATTGTTTGTTACAGTTTTACATGTAAACACTTTGTGTCTTTAGAAAACAAATACATTTTTATTTAATTCATGACAACTGTTGCAATTCTGTGGTAAGTGTGAAAATTTTATTTTGATTTCTGGAGATCATGTGGACCTGATGTTTCATAACCCACTGTTTAAAACTTTTGCTCAAATTACGTTTAGTAAAATCTACACAGCCATTCAATCGTTTGCTTCATGACAGTCCTGAGTTGAACTTTTCTGTCTTTAAAATAAAATTAAAAGCCTTTTTTAGTGATTTAATCATTTTTATTGACAGTTCAGAAAAAGATGTAAATATTTTAAACTCTAAATAAAACGTGACAGTTTATTTTCCAGCTCTCTGAACAAATCAATAAACGATCAGCCTGTGGTTGAAGTGTCACGTGGTTTGGGTCACTGACAGCCGGGAGCGCACATGGGTGACGACGCAAGGCCAGCCCTCTCCGGGGTCCCCTTGGTTAAAGCATCAAACTTAAGCACCTCTGGAGATCCCGAGGGGTTCACATGAGAAGCAGCCATCCTCCTGCCCACTGAGGGAAACCCCCCCACCCGCGCGCAGTCATGTCCAAGTCCTTCTACGTCGACTCTTTAATCATCAAGGATCCGGTGCGACCGGGACCGGCGGAGCCTCCGGGACAAGACTTCCTCCTGCCTGTCGGCATGCACTCCCCGGGCGTGATCACGGTCACCGCTCCGGTGTGCCCCTCCAGGAAGAGCGGCACTTTCTGCGTGTGCCCGCTCTGCGTCACGTCCCACATCCAGTCGTCGCGCGGCGGCATCCCGGTGCTGAAGAGTCAGTTCCCAGGGGTGGAGGCTCAGTTCTGTCAGAGGATAGCCCAGCAGCAGGCTTCTGCGCTCGCGCACCCCGGACACACACCTGTCTGCACGCCCACCTTCGGCGTCACAGACCCGAGGAGGTACCACTGCCTTTCTGTGGGTAAGCACCTGTCCGCAGCTCTCAGCACCTGCGCGGCGCAACTTTTACGCAGTGATTTGCGCGCAAACGTTTCCAACGTCACTAAGCTTTCCTCCCCACCTCTCCTCCTCCAGGCAGCTCCGAGAACATCCACGTGCAGAACGGCAAGAGGATGCGCACGGCTTTCACCAGCACGCAGCTCCTGGAGCTGGAGCGGGAGTTCTCCGCCAACATGTACCTGTCGCGGCTCAGGCGGATCGAGATCGCCACGTTTCTGAGCCTGTCTGAGAAGCAGGTGAAGATCTGGTTCCAGAACCGCCGCGTGAAGCACAAGAAGGAGGGCAAAGCCACGCAGAGGAGCGCGCACGGCGGCTGCAAGTGCGCGAGCACTCACACTGACTACTCCCGGTCTGAGGACGACGAGTCTTTATCTCCGGCCTCCGCCACAGATGACAAGGTGTCACCTGTTTGAAGAGTCCCGCTCCTCACGCGCACCTCCTCTCTGCCCTGCATGCTGCAGTTCTGCGTCACGGCATCACGCAGCCCCCTGAGCCAATTATTCAATAAAGAAATCACCTGTTTGATTAAAAAAAAGTGCTGAGATTATCCACTGTGTTCATCCAATAAATAATGTGACTGTAAATGTTTGTAAAACAAATGAAGCCCTTTGTATTAAAAKAAAACCTCGTAATTTTGGATGGAATACTTGTGCGTTTTTTTTATTTTTTTTTTATTTTTTTATTAGTCTCAGAAAATGTTGATAATRACAGATTCCACCAGTGAAATGTACAAACTCCTCAGCCTAACATGGAGCCTGTAAACATGAATATGTGTATTTATTTGAATAAACGAGTTGACCTAAAACGTGTCACAGCTCTGACTTACTGCGTAAGACTGGAATTTACAATAATTCATAATGAATATAAATCAAATATCAATGAAAGTTTACTGAAAAATAATATAAATGACGTCCTGTTACGG